GCTGCACCACTGGTAAACGTACAGATCTGCCCCCAAACAGCACCTTGAACTCCCTGGTTCTCCAATCCACCTGAGGGTTCACTGCTGCCAACCAGTTCCTGCCCAAGATGATGTCATGACCGTCAAGCCAGATCTGTTGGAAAGGGATTTTTCCATGAAACTCCCCTATGTTGCAGTTGACCGGGTACAACTCGGGTCCACAACTCCTCACTACACCATCCGCCATGCGCACCGTACTCTCCACTGTACTGCTCTGCACAGGTAACTTCAATTCATGCACCAGCCGAGAAGAAATGAAATTGGATGAAGCACCACTATCCAGCAACATCTGTACCTCCTTACCACGAATCTGCCCCCGAAGTACTATGGCTCCTTCCGACTCCTGCTGCGGCGGCGTTGAGGATGGAGTCAGCAAGGTGGGGCACTCCTCACCACCAGCAACTTGCCCCGAAGCTACTGGTGAGGCTTGTTTCCCGGCTGCCCCTATACTTGGTAGGGCAGTTGAGCGCTTTGTGACCACGTTTCCCACACTTGAAGCAATTTCCAGCAAAGCCCTTCCGCTTCTCCTTGTTCTTATCAATCGTATCCAGCTCCATCGGTGTCGGTCCTTGGAACAAGCTCACGGCACTTGGGCTTGTTCAAGTTGTTTCTGGCTGAGAATTCTTCCCAAGAGAATTTCCTTAGAAGCAAGGAAGAACAAACAGAAAGAGAAACAGCAACTACTCTCTAATTCCTACGAATGCATTTTTTTATGTACAGTACATTTACGATTCAGACATGCGGCTCGGAATGTCGATTCGGGTGGCCAGCCCCAACATCGAGCCGCATTCCATATTTCTACTCACATTTGTACACCTCACAGCACCCACACACGTGTTACATTTCTATTCCTCCAAGTATGGACTTTCGCCACCTGTCCCACGCGGAAGTCCCCCCAAGTCAGTCAAGGCACGAAACCTCAGTTTCGCCCTTCTCACGTGGGTCCCCCACGTCCTGCTCACTTCCGCCCCTTTGCTGCCCACGTTCGCAGTTGCACGCTGCTGCTGCATGCTTTCGCCTCCCGTGCGCTTCACGCTGCCTCCAGTGCAGCCCCCACTTGTTACACTGATGCAAAGGAGGGACGGACCCTTCTCGCCCAACAAAATTCTGATCCACGTCATCCCTGACCTGCCCTACACGAGGGTTTGATGACGTGCAGCTTCCCTTGCTAGAGATAGTCTGTCACTCGGAATCAACGGCAAATGTTCGGTAGTAGTAGCAGAAATCGAGAACCTGTCTTGCTCTTCGGGAACCATAAAATTCGGACCAGCGACTTCAGGATGTGGTGCAAATCGGGGGGACCTGCGCGGGACGCAATCAATTGCAAGTTCCTTTTCGCGCCGCGCGATATACGGAAGTACTTCCAGGAAAGCTACTGCACCCTCAATTATTTTTCTCTGCACTACTCACGTACCTTCTTGCACTGTTTTAGCGAACACCAACTGTTACAGATTATACACATTACACTGTAGCGACGAGCACTGACCAATCGCTTTACGTTGTTACGTCGTCGCCAGTGTCGCTAGAGCAACCAGTTCCACTGAATTTATAGATTGTAATCGATCGTATTAGATCGCTGCTGTTTGCAATTGATAGCGTTAGATCGAGGCGTTAGATCGGCGCAATCTGACAATATTATAGCGAGCTGCACCACGTCCTAAACCACGCAACTGGTCCGAATTTTTTGGTTTCCGCAGAGCAAGGCAGGTTGGTACTCGATTCTGCTGCTGCCGAACATTTGCCATTGAACCCTCGCCTCCGCAAGGTTCCGTCCCTACTATAGCAAGATATGTTGCGCCTCCGCAAGGTTCCGCCCCCTATGTAGCAAGAGAAGCTGCGCGTCATCAACCCTCGTGTAGGGCAGGTTAGGGATGACGTGGATCAGAATCCTGCATCGCGAAAAAGGACTTGCCTGTAGGCTGCGGGAAACTTGCAGAAAAGTTACCTTTTGGATAATTTGGTTTTGCAACTTGGCAGTGATGGACGAAGGTTGCAGAAATCCAAGTCACTGGAAAGTTGAATGAAAGTTGCAAGAAAGTTGCATTCCTGCAACACTTCCGCAACTTCGCGGACACTCGATGGACACGTTACGTATACATTTCAGCGACATGTATGCAGTTTCAATACTTGCCACGTGGCACGCGTACAGTTTCGACTTCGAAGTGTACGTACGCCAGTACGTTCGCGAAGATATTTTGCCACGTAAGCAAAGATATTGTGCCAGGTGTCAGTCTCGATATGTGATCGGAAGCTTGCCATGTGGGCCAATCAGACATTAGCTTGTCGTGTGTGAAAATTGATTTCTACTGGTCGCTGATTAGCCTGAACAGTACAAGCGGGTCATTCGTTACAACAGCTTTTTGTTACTGGTTTAGTCGGAGGGTTACAGTTTGGTGAAGATCTATAATATGTTTCACATTTGCATACATACTCATTAAGTATACACCTCGCGCGAACACTATGTAAAAACGTACACAGCTAACACCAAGCACTTGTACATAGCTTCACGTCTTGTGTGGAGGGCACATGCTGCGAAAAATGCTTCTTTATAACGCCTGCAAACAGTACACACATAACGTTAGAGCTTGGTTAGTCATATGCGCGTTCCCCACCTCAGTGACTTACCACCTGCGGGGCTTCACCGCCACTTGTAACATTGCTTGAACGTGCTGGGTAGCTTCTGCATATTGATGAGACAGCTGGAAATAGAAGTTCACGTCGCGTGACTTCCATTAACCCTGCACATGAAAATCAATCCTGAAACACTATGACCACCAGAACAACAGACACATAAACGTTATCGTTAAAGGCTGGATTCCAGACAGCATGGGATAAGAAGGCGCATGGTGAGAAGCTCAAACAGAGGTAGAGAGAGGCCTGCGTGCGAGTAAACACCCTCCGCGTTCTCGCGCTGACGACGGCGCGTCCCCTATGATTCGCGGGCCGAAGGTCCTAAGCTGGGACCTTCGGTCCTAAGCAGTGAACATGCCGACGAGCAGTATTGGGAGGCTGGGGGAAAAAAGAAGCGCAACTGATTAGTGCGAAGAGGGAATGGGAGGACTGGCAGGGGCGGGAAATAATGCACAGGTCACAAGCGACGGCGAAAGATCTGCACACATATTGGGAAGTTACGTGCAAGGCGATTGCTCGCGAAGAATAACCCGTGAGCATAGATGAACGGATGGAAACACATATCAGAGTTGCAACCTAAGGCACACGCACGGATAAATGATTGCTAGGTCTCGAGCTATAGAAAGCATGTGTAGCACACCTTTCGGCGCTTTGAGCGCGGAACTCGGCGATTCCGTTACTAGTCGCTGGTGCCACGTTCTCCGCGTGAGGAAAACGCTGATGTTTAAACTGTAAAAGGGAAGGTGAGGATTCGGAGGGGCGGAAGGGTAAAGGCATAGATCCGAGTAAGCAGCAGTAAGAAGATACAATAAAAAATACGATGGGCTATCGTCTTCGGGTGCACACTTAGAGGCAGGAGATGTATGCGAGAAATGAAGAACCTCAACCAGTTGTGTGAGAATGAGGCAGGTGACAGGTGCTTGAACGGGATAGAGTCAAGTGCAGTGTGAGGGTAAGAAAGACAGATGCTTCTGGAGCTCGGAGGTGTGCTGATGTGTCGTCAAAAATTGCCGTGGATTTCTGAGGTAGGCAAGTGCACACCAGTGATTGGTTAGTTAAAAATCATTACGATGGACCACTTCGTTACCGGTTAGCTAAACCCTGGTCCGGGGAAGCCACGTTAGTACAGTGAATCTGAACTCTTAGCATGGATTGGGTGTGACTTTGAACCTGTGTGCCAGTTGCTTGTTTCGAGTGTTGGTTGCACCTTGGCGAGATTCGTCCTGTTACGTATCATCGTTACTGTTCTCGCAAATCTCGTGAAAGCGTTCATCGATCGGATACCAGCAGTATCACACCATGGGGGACTCCCAAGGGTCGGTCGTGACCAGGTGTACAGTTCGGTCTGGATGTTTCGAAGTTGACGCAAGAAATGCGCGATTCGAGTATCCCACGAAGCCCAAAATCGCGCCTCGGGTACCCCACGTACCCAAAATTCGCGGCTCGGTTACCCCTTGAATCCGAAATTTGTGTGAGTTGCAAAATTCAGTCAATGCTTTTCGGATACTTTCCCGATACAAATCAGCAACTTTCCTGCAGGTTTCAGACTTAAACTCGATTTTGGGCCAAAGCCTTTTCCGCGATGTGTTGGGCGAGAGGGGTCCCTCCCCTTCTTTGCATCAACCTGTCGCTGATTTAATAACCCTTCGCAGCAGCCAAGCAGATGATCATGCTCGTTTACGATTAATATTCTCTTCTATTTCCCGCTGCTTCTGGTACAACTAGTAGTAGCAGGCACGTCGCGACACGTCACGGTAATGCCGCAGCTTAAGTCAGCCTCGACGGAGCGAACCGCCTGGCTTGCGCTCATCGCGCTTTGCCTCGCCGCCTTTGTTGCCGCCTGCTGCGCGGAACTGCTCCACGGCTCCCAAGGTATCGCATTGAAGGGAGCTAGCGGGCCGAAGCTGCGCTCTCGCGTAGAACGTTTCCGTTCGCTGCCATTGAGGTAGCACGATGATAGGGTACACTCCGGGCGTCTGTCAGATCACTAGTCACCTCTCTTTATTTTTTGGGGCTCTGGTCAACAAGAGGCTTGACCAGAGCCCAGAGTGTACCCTTAGCATAGAGGTGTGTTTCAATGATCCCCGGGGGCCAATGCCTCAGGGTACGTCACAAAATGGGGTAACAGCAGTGCCAATATCCTTAGCTGAGCATAGGACCCATTATACATGCAGTGGAATATTTGCACGCAGAGGTTTGGTGGCAGGACGCTGCCGGTGCCGCAATCGCACAAGGGAAATCTGTTGAGAATCATTAACAATCTCAGTCAGATTGCGCAGATGCATTTTCCCGCTTGTCCATTTTCCTCTACTCGCGTCTCCAACTGCCAGCGGCGTTTCTGAACGACTTGGAGAAGGCATGGGGAGTGAAGATCAAGGGAAAAGGGGCGGATTGCAAAGCGTTTATCAAGAACATTCGCTGTGACGGCAGAGGCATGATTTCCATGCTGTGAGTGCAACCGCACTCCACCTTCATTTGGATGTAGCCTTCTGGAACTGGTGCAGAGTGTGCGCCGGAGTTACTTACACTGCATGCTTCCATAGTAGGGTTAAGGTTAACCCCATATCTGCCCAGCGGGATGCATAGCCGCGACCCTCCCTTGTCCCGTGTCGTCTGCATAACGTTGCCTTTCTCACCATGGACTATAAAGGTTGTCCCATCAACTCCGGCGTGTGCATGCTCTCGCCACTCACGGCTTTGACCGCTGTCCCCAACCCACATCCCTGGCTTTCCCACCGCAGAGATTTCTCTCGCTTAGGTCTGTCCGGCTCCATCCCAGAAAGCATTTCCTCGCTCACTTCACTCTCGGAACTGTAAGAATCTGCTCTGGGATCATGGTGCCATGGCGCTTCAATCATGCTTGCGCGTTGATTTGAATAAACTTTTTGACAAATTAGTCTATCATTCCTTAGGCTCAATACGTTCTTACTACCTCTGACCTCACACTTTCAGCGGTCCTTATTCCTCCAGTGCCCTTCTCCTTCCTCTGTGTTAGCCTCCCCCGAGCACTTGAGTGGCAGATACGCTTTCTTCCACATTGCAGCAGTCGTTTCCCTTTCATGCGACACCTTCACCCACTCTGCAATTCTTTCTGCAATCAGCTGCTTTTTATTTCGTTCTGCTAGTATTAAACCGACCTTTTTCATAAACTCCTTGCATCCACTACCACTTTCCATAGACAAAACAAACGCCCATTTTTCACCATAAAGGAGAGAACCTCAGCAAAGTAATCTCGCCGCTTTCCACCCTCTATGAGCAGAACCTTGAGCGACAATCTTCTCACCGGGTTCATTCCTAATGGGATTGGAAACATTCACTCCTTGAAAGACATGTAAGTTTTTCGAAACAGGTTGACGCCAATGCTTCCCAGTCACCCTGCAGAGCTGTGAATGTGTGCTTCAGTGGGAAGCGGGGCAAGTCTCATCTACATGCTGCATGCTTGAAGGGAAATCAGGAGAAAAGAAAGGCATTGGGGCCTCTTCAAGCGCTGGTCCCAGGACCCCGGTTGGCCTGCACCAGTTTGGACTTTAGGATAATTGGCTTGCGGTTGGTCCGACGTGGACAGGACAGCCTGTCCCTCTCTTTCTAGGAAAGGCGATTTAGAGCAAGTTGTAGGCTCATGTTTGCTGTGCTGTCGCTTGATGAAATTCGGCCAGTGGTGGGTTGGAATTTCTTGAGAGTAAAAGGTGAAGTAAGGTGGAATGGCGAATCGTGGCTGGCGTCTGGGTTAGACTTTATGGAACGACTGAAGTGCAGTGGGTTGTTCTTGGGGGTCCTTCTGACAACTCCAGAAGCTGCATCAAAATATGCTGAAACAAAACTGCCACGCATTAGCGATATTCTTCATCCTCCCCTACTCGCACCCTCACCTGCCCTGCTCGTGTGCATTGCCCCTTGCGTCGAGACGGCCCAAGAAGTGACTTGCGTGCGCAGCTCAGATCGCGTGCGTCATTGTCCTGTCCTTACCCACCTGGGCAGCAGATTTACCCAGACCCGCTTGGGCCGACCCAATCACTCACATCACAATTGTAAGCGGGCCGCGCTGCGGGCCGGCTCCGGTCCTGCCTTTAAGACGTGTCAAAAGCTGCGGGCGCCGGGCCGGCTCGGATCGCTGCCCATAGTGTCCATGTCTAAAGCAAATGTTTTTCTTGCAAGCCACTAAATCCCAGACCCCAAAACAAAATGTCCACAGATTACCAGATCCGCACGGATTTGGTTACGAGCCATGTCAGCTGCCTTTGTGAGGCGTTTGAGATTGGGTGGAGGAAGATGGTTCCCTTTGACTCAACGTTTGGGTTCACTCGCTTCACAAAATCCTTTTTTTTTTTACTGGCAGCCCAGTCGTAACGTAATCATGTAGTTTTGCGTGTACCGCATTTAATTTTGGCAATCATACGCATTATACCTTTGCACCAGAGCGTTCTTCCAATCCAACGTTGCCACCTACCCCCTACATCGACACATTCCCAAAGTGACGTGTGCAGTTCGGATCACGCGCGTTTCTGTCCTGGGCTGACCGAAGCTGGAAGGAAACTGGCCCAGACCGGCCCGGCTCGCCCCCGCAAATCCAGCTGGGACTGGGGCCACTGCCAGCCTGGTTAGGGACCGGGCGGGCCAAGGGACCGGGCCCGCCGGGCCTCCCTTGGAACGCGAATGTGTTCCTGCTCCCCCTGCTGCCTCGCCCACTGTTCTGTTGCTGCCCCTTCCAACTCAGCATCCTCATGCAGAAGTTTGAGGAACAATGTGTTGACTGGCTCCATTCCCGACAGCTTCACGTTGCTCACGGGGCTCAAACGATTCTGACTTGGGAGGGAGATTGTTACAAACGGTTGTTACCATGCCACGATGCGACGAACTGATACCACCACGTCACATTTTGTCGTGATCTTCTGCTCTTTAGTTCGCTTCTTCTGTCAGTGTGTGGATGAGCACTGAGCACATAATTGAAAGAATACAACCCCCACGCACATAGCACCCATGCATTCAGTGCTCGCGTCTTTTCTGAGGTTTGCATATTTTTATTTTTCTTTCTGTAATATGCAACTTCACATCTTGTCCCTGGCCTAATAAGCCAGCCTTTCTACTGGTGAAATCCAGGGGACAATTTAAAAAGCTGTCCTAAACCAGGGAAATTTTCACACACACGAAACAACAGTCTGACTGTAACAAAATCAGGGTTAAAAAAAACGACCGTTTTATTGATTTGTTACCGTAAAAAACGGTCGTAAAAAACGGTTTAAAACGGTTCCACGAGGTGTTTCCTCTATAACTAACAAAACGGCCACTTAGCTGGACCAAATTGAACCCGAAATGCAGCAGCATGAAGGGGATAGACCCCTTCTTGCATGTATGTGCTTGTTGGCATGATTGAAAATGTTTTTGACATTGTTTTTCTCTTTTTTTTCTTGGTGAACAGAGTTCTCTAACAAAAAAACGGCCGTTTTTTTTTTTTTTTTTTTTTTTTTTTTAAATCACCGTAAAAACCGACCGTAAAAAACGGACCGTATTTTACGAAAACCGTAATTTTGAACCTTGAACAAAAGTTGAACTCATACCGAGCACATACATGTTGACCAGGCACATGGTTTGGTCGAACATACATGATTCATATCGAGTCGAATTGAGCATGTTCGCTCGACTCTACATGGTGTTTCAACAGGTGTACAAGTTTGTGTTGCAGTTTGCTTGCTCTTGCCTAGTTTGCTTGCACCATAAAAGGCCCTCAGATCAGAAGAAATCCACCATTTTTCCACCCTCCGTGAACAGAGACTTGAGCGACAATCGTTTCGGCATGACAATTCCAGCTGGAATGGGAAGCCTCGCCTCCTTGGAATATGTGTAAGTCACATAGAATAGGCTGATGAAGAGGAAGAAAGCTTCAGGTGAAAGAAAACGATTCCAGACTATTTGGAAAGATTCGTCACTAAGCTGTGCAAATGCAACGATCTTTGTTAGTGCCACACCTCCCATTCATTCCAATCAAATGCACTGCCTTGGCGTGCTCAGTGACAACAAGTGCGCAAGCTTCATCGTTGTCAGACGCTGCATGAAAGTAGCTTGAACTGACCTCTGTCTGGGGGTCTATGTTGAGGCACATCGGAAGGAGCCTGTAAGCTTTTAGAAGCTCTTCAAGCGTGAGCAGCATTAGGGGCATTCCACACCAAGTCGAGCAGCTTCATCCGGAAGTGCAACCATGTGTGCATTCTGTTGGTCCTTGTTACTCATAAGTTCTTGCTCGTCCCATCACAACCTTGGTCCGTTTGTGTGTGCCTGCTCTGCTGCTCCCCTTCCTGCCTTGCCTACTGTCATCTCCCCACCCCACCTCATCCAACGCCACCAATGCAGAAACATGGGAGCCAATAATTTCATTGGAACTATCCCGGACAGTTTCACCTCGCTCACTGCGCTCTTAGGCTTGTAAGTTGCGCGCACGAGGCTGTGTTGCCGTGGCGCGTGACTCGTATGTCTGCCTGTCCATGAAATGGACTTGCAGCACCCACGTGACACCAATTTCCATCCCTTTGTGGCCCTGTCCTCTGACCTCCACTCCACATAGTCTGTTTCTGTAATCTACCACTTTGGATTTATTACGGTGGCCTATAAGTTGAAGCAGCCATAAAAGAATGAGCAATGGCTCCCCAGCCAGCCAGCCAGCCAACGGCTTGGCTTGTCAAATGGTCGATAGAGCTGTGCCTGTGGTGGTTGCCGGCAGATGGTGGTGCATGTGGTGCATCGGTGACTTGACTTCGACATGTACATCCATTCCAATCCAACCACCAGGCTCGTCATTGAGACCTTATTGGCTTGCCGGCCGCTGCTTAAAATCCACTCCCCGACCCCCCTCTCCCCTTTCCCCCGCAAACTTATAGTTTCCCCCACAAAGTGTTTTCGGAACCCAATGGCTCAGGTCGTGTCAAGGCATGGCATCCCCCCTCTTCAGCTCCCCCCACCCCACGTTCCCCAAGTTTACCCTAGCAACCATCCAGGACAGCAACGATCCATCCATCCAGATTCACATAGTTATGGCAATCAGAGACGAGCTGTACCTTCTTTCACCTGTTCATCAGTCTTTCCTTGCTCAGCAGCTTGTCTTCAGCAACAATCCCCAAGCCCGCTTTCGCACGGGGGTCACTCAGTTTGGCTCATCTGACAACCGTCCGGCTCGGCTCGAGCCATTTCTCAACTCAAGTGAACATGTTTTGTATTCACCTCTTATTCTGCAGTGCAGGCGATAGCTAGATATTTATGAGAGGTGGGAGTCGACAATCTGAACCGTGATCTCGCCCGCTTTCCACCCTTTTGTGAACAGATTGAGCAATAATCAGCTCACCGGGTCCATTCCAGCTGGGTTAGGAAACCTTGCATCACTGAGATACGTGTAAGTCGTGTAGATTAGGCTGATGTTGACAAAAGAGGTTTGACATAAATGTTTGTTGTGTGTGTATGCAAGGAAGGTAACAACATCAGGTTATCTAGAAACTCTGGCCCTGTTGACGTCATACCGCCCTTGTGTGCTCAGTCAGTCGTAGTGGGCAGGCTTGTATTCACTCACAACCTGTCAAGAAACGGGTCTATGTTGAGGAAGGAAGAAGCACGAGCACGGGCGGGCTTCTTGACCTTGGGAAGAGGGTCAATCCTGCGCCGGCCGATCATGTCATGATCATCATGTGCCGAGTCGAGTCGTAGCTTGTGTTGGAGCGTGGATTGTTGTCAGGGAGTGTGGAGTTTCAGTTCGTGGCGAGCCAACCCACTCACGAGCCTCCTTAAAGCTTTCACTGGCCATGATATGCCCTTTGCTGTAGTCACACCTCTAATGGGAGATTTCATACAGGCTGGGGGTTTTAGTGTCTTCAAACGTGAGTATGAGATATAGTTGCACGTGTGACCACTTCCTATCTCATCATGGTCCTTCCCCCAGTTCTCTTAACCTTTCATTGTCATAGTCTCCGTTCTCACACCTTCCAGCCTCCCTCTGCAATCTGCATGCGTCTTACAGTTTGCTGCTTCTCATTTGTCAATCCGCTCACCTGTTGGACCAACCTTTTCGAATAAGCACAGCAGTAGCCTTGTCTGCTTGCGGCGAGCAGAGTCTGAACAGTCAGTTTGGCTGAATTAGTCAGCCAAGCGGGTCCATTACAGTAGGACCTGGAATCCTGTCTTCCTTAATATTGCTGTAACCTGCCCGGCGGGCAGTGCCCGCCTTGCCCACTGCCATGCCAATGTACCATCTCCCATATTATTTCCCACGTTACCGACGCAAAAAACTGAGCAAAAATCTTTTAACCGGCTCCGTTCCCAACAGCCTCTCCTCGCTCACGTCGCTTTCTAAGT